TTTGATGATGGAGCCCTGGACCCTGGGTACCCACGCAACATCTCCGAGGGCTTCGAAGGCATCCCGAACAACATCGACGCAGCCTTCGCCCTCCCCGCGCACAGCTACCATGGCAACGAGAGAGTCTATTTCTTCAAGGGTAAGGGGTGCAGCCCCCCTGTTCCTGGGCAGAGCCTGGTGCCGGTGGCCACGAGCAGGACATGGTGTCCGGGCACCTCCCTGCCTCTAGCCGCTGGTCCCCCTCCAGCGCGTCTGCCCTGCTAATGCCCTGTGCGTCCTCTCCTAGAGAAGTACTACTGGTCCTACGACTTCGCCCACCAGCCCACGCAGGCCGAATGCGAGAAGTCCTCCCCCTCGGCCGTGTTCAACCACTACGCCTTCATGAACCGCGACAGCTGGGAGGACATCTTCCAGACCCTCTTCGGCGGCAGGATGAGTAAGGGCTGAGCCAGCCCCGGGGGAAAGGGCCAGTGGGTGCCAATATAGCCCACACTGATGGGGTGCGAGGGGTGCAGGCACCCAGCGGGGAGGGACCGATGCCTGGATGCAGGCTGGATGAGCCGCTGTGCTGAGCAGGAGCCCAGGCTGTGTACAGGAACCCCCCCAGGCCACAGCTGCATCTCCCACAGCATCCCAGATCCCCCCCTCTGCAGCCCTTTTGCCCCGCGCTACCGAGCCCGTCACCAGCCATCTTGCACCACAGCACCGCTGCTGGGGACTGTTTATTCCCACTGGAGATGCCATAGGAAAACCCCAGCCCTGGGCAAGAAAAATGAAAGATGGAAAGGAGGAGAAGGGGGCTCAGCAGCACAGGGCTGATCCCAGCCAAGTGTGGGGCGAGGGGCTGCTCTGGGCTCTGCCTGACCCGTGTCCCCGTCACACGTCCTGTCCGAGCTGGGATCCTTTGGAGCATCCCTGTGGGGCTCGGAGCAGGTGCTGGGGGCTGCCTGTGGGGCTGGGCTCACCCCCCGTACGTTGCTGCTCTTCTCACTCGCCCTCTGCCTCTTTGCCAGCCGGGGCGAGCAGCCCGCGGTACATCAGCAAAGACTGGCGGGGGGTGCCCAGCCGGGTGGACGCCGCCATGGCCGGCAGGATCTACGTGGCCTCCCAGCAGCCCCGGAGGAGGAAATCTCGCCGCCAGCGCAAGAGGTACAAGAGCCACCGGTCACTGAATTTTGGTTTCTGGAGCTGGCTGCAAAATGACTCTGACTCCGCCGGCATTGAAAGCGACTGGCTGTCGGGCTCCCAGTGCGAGACCCTCCAGAGCGTCTACTTCTTTGTAGGAGGTGAGTCTGGGGTGGCAGGATCTGGGAGGGATGCAGGACCAGGGCTGCTGGGGCCAGGGGAGACCTCCTCTCACTCCGCGACGTCCCTGAGCTCCAGGATGTGGTGGGAAGGTGCCCAGGGTTGGCAGCGAGGGCTGGCAGCCCCACGGGCTGTCCTGACAACCATCTCCTCCTCCTCCCAGACAAGTACTACCGCGTGAACCTGCGCACCAAGCGTGTAGACCTGGTGCAGCCCCGCTACCCGCGCTCCATCGCCCAGTACTGGCTGGACTGCCCGCAGCCCGGGGAGGACAGCACCTGAGAGGGCCCCGCAGAGCCGCTCGGCAGCACATCCCCTAGCTAGAGAGAAATAAACTGTGAGTGCCGTGCAGGCTGGAGAGCCGTCTGTCCTTCCGTCCATCTGTCCCGTGGTCCGTCTGGTCCTTGTAGTCTGAGATCACAACGCCCCCGGGGGCTGTGGTCGTCCCCCCAGGTCTAATAACCGTGTGGGCTGTGCCAGATCCCTGCTGCTGGCCCCGTCCAC